AAAAAAAAAAAAAAAAGCAAGTGTGGGTTGTGGATACACAGATGTGGGGCATGACATGAATAACATGCCTTTTGCTTCTTTGCAAAGCACCTAAAGGGTAATGGACCTAAAGGTACTAAAAACTTCAGGCAAGGCCTCCGGCGTCCTACAAAACATGAGCAGCAGTGGATTTTTAACCCTTAACAGGACTGCAGACTCAGGGGACAGACACAGAACAAGCAGAGACCACAAGTTCTGCTGGAGCGAAGGCCACAAGTGAGGCCGCCAAATGAAATGTCGTAAAGCCGGTCTCGTTGACGAAGGGTAAATAAGGATGGCTGTACGACACAGGCAGTGTGTCGAACCAGAGAGAGGTGCTAAAGTTTTAGGGGTAGGGGGTATATACTATATAGGCCCTTGCTGCCCCGCTCACCGGACGTGAAAAAGACAAATTCGAAGTTATCGTGGTTGTATCTTTGAAGTTTCAATGTTCTTGCGCATGATGCATCCTTCGTTTTGCACATTTGGCGAGTCGCGTCGTGAGGTCCTAAATTCGACTGAAGAGGGAAGCGGGGGCAGGACGACGAGAAGGACAAGGGAGGAGGAGCACAGGTAAGAAAAACAGGAGAACATGGATGAGAAGAATTGTGAGACAGGTCAGGAAAAGTGACGAACTGCAAAATAATAACAGAAGACGACAGATGCGAGAAGGGAAAAAGACAAAAAAAATCACAAAAGAAAAACAACCATGGCCACCGCGGACCCGGACACCGGACCGATCCAGACCCAGACAACCAGTCGGTCCGGATTTCCAAACCGATCCGGGGCGTCCGGACATGGTCCGAATCGGTCCGGATGATCCGGATGATCATGTCCGGATCGGTCCGGATAGAAAAAAACAAAAAAAACACTTGCAGGTCTCTTGTGCATGTCGAATGCAGTTTCATTGTATAACCGTGACTTAATTAAGGGGAAGTGTTCCAGGAAGACATAGCTGTCTGTTGGCATATATATGACAAACATGAATGATCATTCCTTGACATTCACTCACTGTGATGGCACAGTCGCTGCAAAGCACAAACTGCTGCAAGGGAAGAAAAAGTGAAGAAACAAAAAAAAAACGAGCACTCCGCAGTAAATTTGAATAAAGGGCCATTTAAATTTTAAAGGTAAATAATAAATAAAGCTCAAGACTTCAGCAGTTCATAATTTGAAGTTCAAAGTTTGAAGTTCTCTCTCTCTCTCTCTCTCTCTCTCTCTCTCTCTCTCTCTCTCTCTCTCTCATGCATGCGTGCACATGTGCGCACCAGTCCACAACGGTGACGAGGGCTCTCTCTCCCTCTCCCTCTGTGTGTGTGTGTGCGTGTGTGTGGCGGCGGTGGGTGGGCGTGAAACGGTGAAAGCACTCTGAAATGCCTCGATCCACCTCCTTTCTTCCCTTTGTCACTGGGGAACTGTGCTCTGCCTCCAACGGTCTGCCCAGGATGCAAATAGAAAAGGGGTCGGTCCGGCCGCCCTGTACGGCCAATACCGGCCCCCAAAATCATCGAAACATTTTTCAGGGGGCGCCCTGGACCCAAGGAACAGGTCTAGGGTGGCCCCCCTTTTTTTTGTTTCGGGGTTTTGGCCCCTTCCGGAGAGAAGCCAAGTTGAGAAAAGATCAGGAAAAAAAAAAAAAAAGATCAGCAAAGGTGAGCATGCGAATAGAACTGTCGAAAACTCATGTAGGTCGGGTCTTTTTTGAAATTTGTTCCCTTTTTCCCCACAAGGATAGTCCAATTTGGTTGTATCAATAGCAAGACCCTCCCACAAGGTTCTTCTTCCCAGAGAATAGCAAACAAGGCTCTAGATTTTCCTACAATAGCATGAACTATGTCAGCAGCTGGACAGTGTTCATGGTAGTCTAGACTCTAGAGTCTTAAGCACCTACCTAATAAGACCAATCATGCCCAATTCAGAAAAAAATAGCAAACAAGGCTCTAGCTTTCCTAGAATAGCATGAACTATGCCAGCAGCTGGACAGTGCTAATGTTTAGTCTAGACTCTACACTCTCAAGCACCTACCTAATAACTTGATACGACCACTTGTGCCCACTTCCAAAAATAGACACAGCCCAGTTCCAAAAATAGACAAACAAAGGATTCACTAATTGCAATCGCCACAATCCCAAAACAGGATCAATGACTCTCAATCCCAAGAGTATCAATCATCTCACTCCCAACGGGACCAACCACTCAGCTTACTCCCAACGGGACCAACCACTCAGCTCACTCCCAAGGGGACCAACCACTCAGCTCACTCCCAAGGGGACCAATCATCTCACTCCCAGGGGGACCAATCATATCACTCCCAAGGCGAAAAAACATAAAACATCAAGCAATCACATCCCACGAGGATGTTGCTTTTTTTTTTTTTTTTTTTTTTTTTTTTGAAAGGTCCATGTCGTCGGAGAGGGTGGATGCTAAGCCTCAGGAGGTGCCTGTCGTCGTACTCGACCAGTGAGGAGGTCGGATGGCTTGTGACAACCCCAAGGACAGTCTTCCTCCAGGGGGCATCATTCGTGACCTGTTACATCCTAATCTTATTGCAAGTCGAGCCATACAGTGGTGTGACCCAGACCTCCCTATCCAGACTTAAGACCTACACCAACCCGCACCTGCCGTGGAGTCGCAGAAATGCGTTCCCCCCCGAGGGGGCTACCATAGCTCACAAGGATGATCCACTTGTGCTAACCTTCTGACCTGAGAGTTGCAGCAAAATACTCCAGGATCTAAACACACAGCAGAGCCACTTGTCCTCAACCTTCTGACCTAAGCTATAGCAAAACCGCCAGGTACTAAGGAATCTAATGAATCTAAGGAATCTAAAGAATCTAAACACGTAGCAGAGCCACTTGTGCTAACGTTCCCAACCTGAGAGCTGCAGCAAAAAAACTCCAGGACCTAAACACACATTGCAGAGCCACTTGCCCCTAACCTTCTGACCTGGGAGCTGCAGCAAAGACTCCAAGATCTCAACAGAGACTGTAGGGGTCTGGTGAGCCCCTGTTCTGAGCTCCCCGGTTTTGCGCAAGAGAATGGGTATATGCTAAAAATAGATTTCCGACTTCCGGTAGCTCAAAGCCAGAAGTAACGATGCAAAGGCAATGACGACACCCTGATCGGCGATCTCTACTCTTCGACAGATAATCGATTTATAGTAGGCGATGATGATTGTAAATCCAAACCGAATGCACAACTCCGATCTATCCCATCCAAATGGTCTGATTCAATTAAGAAATCCACGCTGATCTGATCATGAGAATTGCGAATTCCCATCCACGTAACAGGAGCATCAATTATATGCAGAATAATAATTCCTAAATCCCATGTTGGGGAGGCTTCCACAAAGCAGAGCATAAAAAAAGTAATACCCTTGGGCAACCTTCTGAAGAAAAAGCGCAAGCCAAGTGTGAAAGCAGTGGAACGAATAAAAAATAGATTACATACATATAATCAAAGCTTGAAAAAAAAAAGAGGGAAAAAAAAAACACTCTCGACTGTAATCAGTGCTTGTAAAACAATAAGATTTGTGACTTCCTCCTACACAATGATGAATCATAGGTAAATAAAAAAAAATGCAAAAAAACATTTAAAAATGATAAAAAACGAAGAACGCCTTCATAAAAATTCACGTCGGCATACTGTTCGGGTGGTGACACCAGCAGAAGTTGTCGGGAACCTTGGCCTCTTCGCACGTCCTGTTGGCGCGTTTGTTTGACAACAGACTCTGCCGCCACCACCCTTGGGCGTCGCCATGCAGATTTTCCCTGTCTTGCCACTGAATGAGGACTTTCAGAAAGAAGTGGATGTCAAACGCGTTCACAAGCACCTGTTCGTTCCTTTCGAGGTTCTGGCCAACGGTTCGCGAGGGGTCGTCAACATCCGCAGCCGCAGCCAGCGAATCCGGCACTGAAACGAATAGGAAAGGCGACTCATGCTCTTGCCGACCGTTCTCCGTGTACACATAAGAAAGCGACATATGGTTTCCGTGATCGCTTAGGAGGAGCAACACAGTATCTTCGAAGAGTCCCGAGTCCGACGCCTTTTTGAGGAAATCGGCGAGTTCTGCATCCATCGTGGAGAGAACTTCGCCCGATCCCTCATGCCCTTCGATAAATGCGTTGAAGAAAGCAAACGGCTGTTTCTTGTGGTAAAGAGAGACCATATGGTTCACCCAGGCGAAGGCGTGGTGATGGACATAGTGGCCAAAAAGGCATCTCCTGCGTATAGAGTACGGACCCTTGAAGTTGCCGAATGGATGGCCGACTGCTGGGTAGTACTCTGGGTGGCAGAAGGGTGCCAGAAGCTCGTGCGAGAGCGCATACGAAGTGGTGCGTTTCATGCATGACACGCTCCAGTCGTCGCAGTCGTCATTCATCCAAGCCGTAACGTACCCGTTGCGACGTAACCCCTCCCAAAGGGGCTCATGGCGGTGCGAAGTCTCCCCTTCATCCCATAAATGTCCGGTGTAGAGAGCAAGCGTGTTCGGATCGGTGTTGAAACCTGTGAGCGAGTAGCGGAAGTACTCGTGCAGCGAAAATCCACTCTTCTTTGTCATTTGGAACAGGACCTCCGCCGTCAGAGGCAGCTTACGATAGAAGTGACGGTGCGAAACGGCATCGATGAAGAGAACCAGTATGTTGTATTGCTGCGGAGACGCCTTCAGAGAGGGCGATGGCGATGAGGCTTGCCTTTGCGTCTTACGGAAGAACAGCTGTCGTGTGGCGGAGCCACATTGGACGAGGAAAGACTCGCAATCCGGCGGAAGTTGTGCTGACGGACCGTACGGGATCTCCTTGAGTTGCGCAAGCACCTCTTTGTTTATCTGAAACAGATCCTTTGATGAAGTGTTCCACGTTTTCGTGTCCGGGAATGGCACATAGGATAGGGACTCGTGAGACGGACATCCGTCCACCTTCATTGTTCCGTTCGGCGAAACCTCGACCCGCAGCACATACTTGTTGGGGGGGCAAGCTTGCGACCCGGTCCAGAAGTTCATGGCCCCTTTGGGAAGAAGATCTTGCCAGGGTATTCCAGGCTGAAGAGGGCACAGATGTTCGCCTGTAGGCAACACATTCAAAGCTCGCTTTCCAGGGAGGCCTTGGGGGTAGACACGCTGGTATCGCATCAGCTGAAGGGATACTGCCGAAACCAAGACAATCAATAGGCAAAGGGTGAAGGGCGGGCATCTGCGCGGAAAGTATCGGTAAAGGACGACGGACGAATAAATAATACAGTTAACGGGGAAGAGTATGGTTGCAAACACAAGTGCATTGTACTGGCCATGGTGTTCAAATGAGGCGCCTGTATCATACAGACTCAACAATACCAGATTCAGAAGTACAGCGGATAAGGCCAATAACTTGGCCTGGAAAGGGAGGGTCTGCAGCGTGAGGGTGGTTGCAATAGGAATAGTGAAAAAAATAACTGCTGCGACCAAATAAATTGCGAGTGTGGTCAAATGCGCCTTCATCCATGCTAGATTTCCGCCGCCAAGAGACTGAATGTAAAGGCAGGTGCCAATCAAACACGAGAGGAGAACGACAATCAGATAGCTGATTAACGAACCATGCCACGAATCGTCGGCCTTTCCGATGGAGCAGCGAGGGTCACTCGACCTGTTTCGCGGCCTCCGCAACGTATAAGGCTGTGAGCTATGGTTTCCTGCATCAGCCCCCTTCCCCCCCAACACCACCACACACACACACACACACACACACACACACACACACAAACGTGCACACAGAGACACACACACACACGCACAGAAAAAGACAACGGATGAACACACCCATTGAACTCCACTGTTAGAGGCATCCTGTAATGCAAAATGTCTCCATTCATGAACAAGATCAGCATGAAGGGGGGGAAGGGGGAAGGGGGAAGGGGAAAGAAAGAAAAAGGAGTGGCCAAACAATGCAAAAAAAAAGGACTTCAAGTTTTCCTGCCAGCCCAACCAGGTTCTGCCGTGACTCGTCACAAGTTTTTCCACTCTCGCGAATCTTACGCCGTACTCACAACGGGACTTCCCTTTCCCTCCAGAAAATCCCAATGTCGACAAGGACCCACTCCCAGTGCGGCATTCACCGCTATGGACGGGGATGCAGAGGGGGAAAGAGACTACCTATTGTGTTTTGTGTTGGTGGGGATGGGTGGGGTGTCAAAAAGGGTGAAGGGGGGAGGGGGGAGGGGGGAGGGGGGAAGTGCGGCACGTGGAGGAGGAAAGAATTCACACGCGTGTTGGGGGCAAGGAAAGAACACAAATGCACTTCTCGGTTGTTCCTCACAGGGAGGGATCAAACCAAGTGGGCCCTTCTCGTTCATTCCTACCTAAGAGGAATAGGTGGGAAGGGGGAGGGGGAGGGGGAGGGGGAGCGGGATGGGGAGGGGTGGGTGGGAGCGTGTAGAGGGGAGATGGTGCTCGAACACTTCATCATCCAGACTGAGTGATTGATGCCACAGATGTCAACGGCTTCTCTGAACGTACCATTCGATAAGGGAAGATGCGGGGCCAGTCTGAATCCCTTTCCGCGAAAAAGATTGTCCATCCTCTGGGAGAAGCTTCCATGGACTGGTTTCAACAATGTTTCCAACTTTTGAAGCCAACTCCATCCGCCGGACGACCGTGGGCGCATCTTTTCCGGATGTTCTGTTCGTCTCATACTCCTGAACACAACCAATCAACAGCTGACAGCTAGGATTTAGTTTAAGTGGATAAGCCTACCTTCCTCACTCGATTAGAACACCGGGTCATTGTGACTGTATTCGGTCCTATTTGCACACTAGATACAGCGTCTATTGGGGTGAAGATGATAGAATCAACGGTAGACAGCTAGGATTAAGTTTAAAGTGGATAAGGCTAGAATCAACGGTTGAGAGCTAGGAAAAGATAAATAAGCTTAGGCATGTGTGCACACGTAGCATGTAAGCCAGAGCAAGTGAACAAACCCCGCCAAGAGAACAGATCAGCAGTACATTTCTCGAAAACGAACAAGCAAGAACAAACGTCATTAGTCCGACACCATCCTTCGCGTCGGAAAACAGCCATTCCATCCATCAATGAAGTTCTTGAAAAACAGCAATCTACTGATTCTACTTTTTTTTTTTTTTTTGAAATTTTTTGGAACGTTTCTCAATTTATGTGTGTCATCCTTGCGCGCAGGCGCCATGCTAATCTTCTCTGCATCGCTCCAATCCTAACGGATGTCCCGACCAGCAATCTCTTTTTTTCAGTTTTTTGCCTCATCACATTGGATAAAAATGCGCATCCACTTTGCAAACCGGATAAGATACATTCCGAACAATCTATATCTACGATCATTCTCTGTTCACAGAACAACACCAAAAAAAAAGATACATTCGCTGTCAGAAAACCGTAAGCACGTTGTCAAATCTTCTTCCTCTTCTTCTTCTTCTTCTTCTTCTTCTTTTTTTAAAGACCAAAACAGACTCTGTTGAGTCCATTGAGCTGCCATTGCAAGCTGTGCTTCTATCAATTTACTAAATGTACTGTTCGAACGGCGAGGATTTTACCCCTCGGTATACCGGCATACGGCCCTGCAGCAGGCGCGTGCCCGCCTTGCTCATGAGCCCCCTGAATCTCAATGAGCCCTGGACTCGTCAATTTTTACAAATCTTGGTGGGCGCCAGACAGTTGCCATGAGCCAGTTGATTACATCCGCCTTGCTCGTGAGAATTGGACATATTCATGAGCCTTCCAGGCTCTTCCAACAACGTGGTCGAAGCAGGGAGCACCGCGTGTTTGTGCCTGGGCGGTTGGGCATGCCCAACCAATTCGGTCGCAGGCCACTGTCTGAATGGGCCTGGCCGCAGACACTTTGGCCCGACATGAAGCTAGAGGGCACATGCGCGTCCCAGCCCAGCTGCAAACTGGGCGAGAGCTTTCCATATAGGAAAGAGCTCGCTAGGAAGAAGGCATTCGGGTACTCGGTACAGCGAGCGGCAGCGCTTCTGGAGCATGCACTTGCGTGCTGCTGGTAGCTGCTGGTAGCTGCTAGCGCACATGCTCGTGCGCGTGTGTGGACGTGCAGGGTGCAGGGTGCTGCTGAGGGCAGTGCCATAGCCAGCCCCTCATACGCGGGCTTGACTTGGGTGGTGGTCTTCGTGTATGGGAAGGAAGACGTGGGTAGAGAAGACGCGCGCGCGCGAGAGAGAGAGAGAGAGAGAGGAATACCGGAATGGAGAATGACCCACAGCTTGAGTTATCTGGTGAATGAGCCCCCCTCTGCTGCTGATGAAGCCTAAGACAGCGAGGCCCGACTGGCACTAATTTTGCACAAAAAAAGCGCAAACGTCGTCACACATTTTGGCCAGGTTCATGCTCCACAAACACAGAATGTATACAAGATATATTTCTGGTCAAGCACAGTCAAAATGAGGGTGCGTTGTGTTTGGGAGAAGACGGGTAGCCTCGGGCGAAGTTTAGGGCATACTCACACTGGGACCTTTTTGACTCAGCTCTGGATGTGATTGCGGTACGGTGCATCCTGGCGTCACCGCAATTGCGGTCAGATACATTTTAAAAAGTGCTACCGTAGCGTCAGTATGCCCGTAGATTTCAGAACTTCCAGATGTCACTCACCCTAGAGAGGAGGAGAGTTTTCACAATTTGGTTTCCAAATCAAGTAAAAACCTCTACCCTCAAACACCGACCCCGTTTCTTTCCGACCCCAACTCACTGACACCATCCATTACTGACCTACAGAAATATTTTATTTATTTATTTATTTATCTATTTATTTATTTATTTACTTATTTATTTATTTATAGTAATTTTATACTGGCCACAGATCCCCCATCCACCACCCTTTATTGGGATTGTGTGAGGTGTCGGGGATATCGCCCTAGGAGGAAGTACGGCAGGGGACTTCATGCGCCGGGTTCAGCCCACCTGTCGGCACAGCGGGCCCACCCACTTACTCTGAATCATTTCACTTGACCCCAAAAAAAAAAAAAAAAAAAAAGGTACAAACAAAGTCCAATAATACCCCTGGAGCCAAGTCCCACTAGCGGTGTTTCCTCAACACCTGAATCTGGACGCGTTTGAGGAGATGTGCAGAAGTTTCCTCAACCGCACATCCCCACAAACACGTCCACATTCAGGCGTTGAGGAAACGCAACATTGCTAGTGGGACTTGGCCCCTGAGCAGAAATATTATTAAGACCCGACAGAGTAAAGGGAAACGTAAAAGCCAAAAACATATCATCGGTGACTTAAACAGTTTTTTTTTTTTTCATTTATTTTGCGCAGAATCAGTTTTGAAATTTGAATCTATTTGATATTTATTTATTCATTTATTTTGAATTTATTTGATTCATTCAAGATTCGAACAGACGACCTGCCTCTGGACAGTTATATGTATGTGTGTACAACTGAGCCACGTGCGCTGTGCAGTCAGAAAGGCAAGGGAAAAGAGAAAGAGAAAGGGGCTCGATCGGCTACTCTTTTTTTTTTTTTTTTTGTTAATTTGGACCATTTCTCGATTTATTTGTGTCATCCTTGCGCAGGGGCCATGCTAATCTTCTCTCCATCGTTCCAATTGTAACGGATGTCCGGAAGGGGCTCGCTCCACTACTCTGGACATGCACAAAATACAAGAACTACGGCCATTTATCTTTACGTTCTAGCGGAAGATTCGTTCCTATTTTGCACATTTGGTGAGCAGTGGAGCGAGGCGCAAAGTGCCTGGCTCCACTACTCACCCCACAACTACTCACCCCACATGCACCACAGACAAATAAGATGTCAGTGTACCTTTCCATGTTCTAGCAGAAGATTCATCTCAATTTGCACAGGTGGCCCAAAATCGACTCAAGTGACTAAGGGGCTCGTTAGACACTCCTATTGAAATCCTCGGGCAAAGGGAAAAATTCCTTTTGGTTCAAAAGGAAACTTGGGCCCTTCGTTCCACCTGTCCTCGGGGACGTCGCCCGAGGACATTTCCTTTGAGGATGTCAGAAAAGAAAAAAAGAAAAAAAAATTCAAATGTGCTTGAGGCCTTCAGCCAATAGGATGTCGCCACGATCCAGATTCTCGGTTGTAACGTCTCTCTACCCATGTGCCCGCTCCTCTCCGTGAAACGCGGATTCCTTTTGGGCAAAACGAAGAAATGTCTGGGGAATCCTCGGAGCCCAAGGAATTTCCTTCGAGTGTTTTCACCTTTTTTTTTTCCGACTGCATCCCCGAGGATAGGTGGAACGAACAATTCCTCGGGGACTTTACGCGCCCGAGGAGTGTCGAACGGGCCCCTAAGACAAGAAACAAACAAACAAACAAACAAACAAACAAACAAACAAACAAAGAAGGACAAATATTTCCGCAACAGACCTATATCTTGTGGACACGGGAACGTAGATTAAGATAATTAAGGACAAAGTGTCACGACGAGGAGTAGTTTTAGAGTACCAACCAGGACACTCGGTTGAAGTAAGGCCGCAGTGGGAACAGGACGAGCTCCTCTGGGCCGAGCTAGTCCCAGAAGTAGGGTAGGTCAGGAAGCTATCCTTAGAGATAAGTTTTGTAAGTCTCAATCTATCTCCACATTTCGCCAATACTACAATATGCACGGAATGACCTTCCTTCCAAGATAGGAAAAGAGTTCACTAGTGAAGGTGAGGCACAACACACAGTAGCATTTGGAACTGTCAGGGTCAGATCGTTTAAGAATAACAGTGTGTTCAGTTAAATCGATAGGAGGAATTAAAGGGATTGGTATTCAAAACTAAACCGGCTGATGCTGCGGGGATAACTTCCGGGTTGAGTTGTGAGGTCCCCGGCCTCTATCAAATATTCTTTGGCAATCGAACTGAACGTTTTCATAAAAGAAAAAAAAAGAAAAAAAAGAAAAGAAAAGAAAGAAAGAAAGAAAATTGAGTGAAAAAAAAAGAGAGAGTAAATCCTGTTTGGCTCTGCTGGGGCGAGGTCCCACTATCAAACAGGATTGCATTCAGCGCCTGAATCCAGATGAGTTTTATGCAGACATGCAGTAAAGCAGATCAGACCGCTGTTTCCTGCATCTCTCCACAAACATGACCAGATTCTGGCGTTAAATGCAATCCCCTTAGCTAGAGGGACGTGTTAAATGCAATCCCCTTAGCTAGAGGGACGTTGCTCCTGAAGTTTCTGGCAATGGGCCTCAGTAAATTGGAGAAGAATGGGCCTCGCCACACTACTCCCGAAAGTGGCTGTTTTCAGGGGTGCAGTGGTGCCACATCAGCCCCCGAGTTTGATCTGTCAGATTTGAATTCGGGAGCTGTCAGAATGTGGCTCCCCAGAGCACTCCCGAAACTGCTTGCGCCTCACGCCTACGAGCTAGAATTTTCGGGAGACCTCCAACGGTCGGTCCGTTTTGGCCTGAAAATTCGAGAGGCACTCCCGAAACTGCTTGCGCCTCACGCCTATAGCATTTTCGGGAGACCTCCAACGGTCAGTCCATTTTGGGCTGAAAATTCGAGAGGCGGTCCGTTTTGGGCTGAAAATTCGAGAGGCGGCCTGGGCGGACGAGCCTCTGCTTCGAGAGGCGGTCCGTTTTGGGCTGAAAATTGGAGAGGCGGCCTGGCTGGACAAGCCTCTGTTGCCGCTCTTTGGCCCTCGCCACACTACTCCCGAAGCGCTGCCACAAGAGCTCCCGAATTTGATCTGTCAGATTGAATTTGAGAGCTGTCAGATGTGGCTCCCGAGAGCACTCCCAAAACCGCGA